GTCTCAGTGACGTGATAAGGCGCTGTATCAAATGCAAGGATTATTATGAGGAATTGATCGGTTATAGAGGTGAAATCAGAAAGGAGGTACAGATGATTCTGTACCTCACGCGAGGTCAGGCCCATACACAGCAAGTCAAGGCTGAGGCATGAGGAGCTCAAAGGAAAGGAAAGGTTGTCACGGAGGTGGTTCAAGGAGTAAAGGCATTGGAGGAAGCAATACAGCTTGCAAAGGTTACCAAGCCAGCCATAACAGGAAGTCTGGGTTCTGCAGACTCCAGCTAGTCAAATGGAAATGTTATGGTCATGGCTTCTGACAGTGACTGAGCGATTACAATTTCTGAGGTTTGGTCAACAAGCAAAAAGCAAACGAAGATCGAGGCAAAAGGATCTGCTATTGTGAAGCGAGCATTAGTCAAGGCAAAGAGAAGCCTCACAACTAAGTGCTTCCCTTGGCAACACTTGCACATCAAGCGCTTTGAGGGGTTTCAGCCCAGACATAACTACCTTCCAATTGAACAATCATCAATTGTAACATCATTACTGCCAATTAACGTAAGCGTAAGAGGTTTCAGGGCAGCTCCAAGCCTCTCCTGGCTTGATAGCTCTCATTTCCTGCCCTACTTACTGGACATTTCAATTGCTTCATTTTCCAGAAACTCTTACAACCAAAAATCATCAGGATCATCTATATGTCGTTTAGAGGTCAACCAACCAATCCTCCTGAAGCAGCGCCAGGGTTAGAGCTGCACAGGAGAACGTACACCCGATTTACGGTTCACTAAATAGCAACTGAAGAGCGCAGGTTCTGCTTATTGCGATATTACTCAGGAATAAAAATAATAAATTGGTCACTTTAATCGGCGGCTGTTTGTGGGGACGCTGCTGTGCGCAATCGGCTGCCGCGTGTCACCCGCAAAATATACAATTCGCTCTACAGTCTATTCTGTGAAGAGCTTTGAGACGTCTCAAGGACGAGATAAGGCGCTGTGTCAAATGCAAGGATTATTATTATTATTATTATTATTATTAGAAATGTGCAGTTATCAAACATTGGGTGCGGCCGGAAATTGAGTCTTAGCATCACAGCCGCCTGACTGTCACCCGTTTCCTGCCTGAACCCTGTGCAGCTATGTATTTATTTGTATTTTTGGCTGTTGATTTATTTATAAAGAGAGTTGTTTGTATCAACAGAAAATCCAAATACTTTTCTCAGTCACATGTGGAGTTAGAATTAAAGCAAATGTTTTAGTAATTTGTGTTCCAGCGACTTGTAACCGACCGGACCGGACCCTGAAACAAACGGATTGGAGACGTCAGGAACTTTCTGCAACTTTAGTCATTACAGTTTCCGCAACTTTTCTCAACGTGGGGGGAGGAGGTGGAGGAGATGGGGGGGCGGGGATGGAGAGGGAGAAGGTAAGGGGGGGATGGAGAGGGGGCTGTGGGGGAGAGGGGGCTGTGGGGGAGAGGGGGGCTGTGGGGTGGGGAGCAGTGTGTGGGGAGGGGGCTGTGGGGTGTGTGGGAGGGGGCAGTGTGGGTGTGGGGGCTGTGGGGGGGTGGCTGTGGGGTGTGTGTGGGGGGCTGTGGGGTGTGTGGGGAGGGGCTGTGGGGTGTGGGGAGGGGCTGTGGGGTGGGGGCTGTGGGGTGTGGGGGGCAGTGTGTGTGGAGTGGGAGGCAGTGTGGGGCGGGGGGCGGTGTGGGGGTGTGGGGGGGGCGGTGTGGGGTGCCCCGGCCCCCCTACCTGTACAGGGGGTGTGTGTGGGAGGGGGCAGTGTGTGTGTGGGAGGGGCAGTGTGGGGGGCGGTGTGTGAGGGAGGGGCGGTGTGTGAGGGAGGGGCGGTGTGTGGGGGTGTGGGGGGGCAGTGTGGGGTGCCCCGGCCCCCCTACCTGTACAGGGGGTGTGTGTGGGAGGGGGCAGTGTGTGGGGGGGCAGTGTGGGGGTGTGGGGGTCCCGGCCCCCCTACCTGTACAGGGGGTGTGTGTGGGGTGGGGGCAGTGTGTGGGTGGGGTGGGGGGCTGTGTGTGTGGGGGCAGTGTGGGGGTGTGGGGAGCCCCGACCCCCTACCTGTACAGGGGGTGTGTGTGGGGGGGCGGTGTGTGTGTGTGGGGTGGGCGGTGTGTGTGGTGGGGTGGGGTCCCGGCCCCTACCTGTACAGGGGGTGTGTGTGGGGGCCGGTGTGTGTGTGGTGGGGGCAGTGTGGGGGGGGGGTGGGGGGGGGGTGTGGGGGGTCCCGGCCCCTACCTGTACAGGGGGTGTGTGTGGGGGGTGGGGGCCGGTGTGTGTGTGTGTGGGGGGGGGGCGGTGTGTGTGTGGGGGGGGCGGTGTGGGGGGGGGGGGTGGGGTGTGTGGGGGGGGGGGCGGTGTGTGGGGGCTGTGTGGGGGGGTGTGGGGGGCTGTTGTGGTGTGGGGGGGTGTGGGGGCGGTGTGTGTGTGTGTGGGGGGGGCAGTGTGTGGGGGGGGGGGGCAGTGTGGGGGGGTGGCCCCTACTTGTGGGGTGTGTGGGGGGGGGGGGGCGGTGTGTGGGGGTGTGTGGGGCGGTGTGGGGGGGGGTCCCGGCCCTACCTGTACAGGGGGTGTGTGTGGGGGGGGGGCGGTGTGTGGGGTGGGGGGGTGGGGGTGGTGTGTGGGGGGTGTGTGGGGGCGGTGCCTTCTCGATTCCTCCTCTGCGGTTTCTACTGGAAAGGAATTTGCTGTCTGGCTGATGGGAAACGTGTGCTAAAGAGAAAAAAAAACAAAAGGTTATCTATAAGCTCAAGAACCCACAATAAAAATATCATTTGACTTTTTTTACAGGACAAAGACATGTCTCTCCAGTTAACCAATCCAAATTTAATACATCATTTCTTTTTCGGTTCTCAACACTAAAAATGCCAATTTTTACTTCAGATAGTGCGTAACTGACATCCCTGCTTGTCCCTCGTGCCCTGCGTTCCACCATCGATAGCCGCGCTTTCAGCCAATATGCCCCGAAACTCGGGAGCACTCCGCCTCAAACCCTCCGCCTTGCCCCCCTCTTTCCCCATTTTCAGGTCGTGCCTGAAGACCTTCCTCTTCGACTGTGCCTACGGTCACACACACCCCACCCCCGAAGTCTTGCTCCGCCATTGTCAAGCGCTCTGGGACACTACCCTGCGTGAGGGGCGCTATATAAATGCAAGTTGTGATTGTAATATAGAATAGTTCTTACCTCAGCTGGATCTGCAGTTTTGTAGCTCATCTGTCTGTGGATTGAAGTTTTCTCTGCAAAATCTACTGCCAGTTTGGAAATTTCCTCTCTGTCTACACAGACAGATTTAATATCTGCAAACAAGACAAAAGCAGCCAGAGTCAAAGACTGTGCGACCACCACAGACTTTAATACCAGAACCAGTGTTTACTGGTAGCCAATAGAATGGATTTAAAATGATAGATGGGAGCACGGCACTGAATTCCCAAACAGAGTAAGCTCCAACCCAGTTAGTCTTACATATAGGATTCACCCCTTCCTTCACCCCCAAAAATACCAACCTTTGGATTTCTTTCTCCCAAAGAAAGTCTCTGTAATTTTCTTAAGGAGGCTTTTGGTGGGTGCAGGAACACTCAGATCCGGAACCATCAGGCAACTGCTCGAGTGGAGTACGTCGGGGATGAAGCCCTGAAAAGAGAAATCAGAAACATGAATCCCCTGAGCCTGGTTGGTATATGCCAAATAGAAGAGTTTCAAAAGACATTGAGAATGATGTCTGATGTTTTTTTGTGTAGTTACTTAACATGCACCACTAGTCTTTGGTTTGCACATCAGAGCAACACATCTTTGTGCCGTTAGCTCAACTATTAGCAACCACCCAACAACACAATAAGCCACAACAATCAGCAACAGTGAACAGCTCCAGATCGAAAATTAGCCTTCCTATTGAACATGAGTCAAGTTTCTCTTTACACCATCAGTCAACCTACTCGGAGGCCAACACCATTTAACGGTCTTAATGGTATACAGTAAAATCCATATTCTACTAATAGATGTGGTGACATTCCATCTCATCAGATCACAGAATGAATTCTCAGTATGTACCAACTGCAAACATCTTGTGGGAATCAGGTCTACATCCTAAAGACAGTCAATATCAAGTTGCCAGAATATGCACCTTCCCATTCAAATTGCACAAAATCATTCATTCTGGAAAATGTCCTTACTTTAGTAAAAAAATCATGGTTGATAATTTCATCTAGGGTGGGACGGTGTTCCGGATCTTTCCTCAGGATGCTGGCCACAAGATTCTTTGCAGCCACTGAAGACGTTGAAGGCATGGTATACTCGACTGTCCGAATGCATCGGTAGGTGTCCTTCAGATCTGTGGTCTCAAATGGTGGGCGGCCAAATAGCATAGTGTACCTGCGAGAGGAGTGTTCATAGTCACGTGATAATCTGGCTTTTTAACCTCAGTATTTGTACAGTTGTAAACTATAACAAACACATTGCTACAGCACAGGATGATTGAATTCACAAACCCACAAAAGTCTAGTCTTGCTGTGTAGTAAGGGAAAGAACATAATCATGTCTTTTCCTGATGAAAAAGGTTACCATCTTATTATTGTCATTATTGGAGAAGACAAACAGAAACTGGTGCATTGAGCTCCAGCAGATCATCCAAATTTAGAAAATAGGCAAGATAGAAGTGGTTTCTCAGGAATTAGAAGCTAGGACAGCATTCAAAAGAGGAAAGTACTCCACTCAATATACTCTTGAAATTATATCTCCAATCAATCAGATTTGGACTTTGAAACCACTTTGAAAGAACTTTTTTAAAAAAAAACCATGAGTCAAAAATATTGAAAATGAAATGAGCATTTCAGTTAGAACAAAAATTGGTAGTTCAAGAATCCACCCAGGATGGGCAATGAGGTTATAAGTTCAGAGCAAAAAAAAATATACAGTTGAGGTTACCAAGCAAAAGGCAATGTGGTTTCTCAAAGATTCAGATTTAAAACCTTGGGGGATGCATACGTCAATGCACACAAATATCAAAAGTTACAAACACTTTGCTGAGAATATAATTGGAATAGTTCATTAAAAATAAAGTCCCTGGATAAGTGAGATGGGCAGCTATGATTTCACTAAGCTATCTAGGTCACCTAGGTTGCACCAATTTGTCAAGGTTATTTTTTGCCTTCTGGATTCAGATATGCAAGGCTGCTGCATAATGCGAGATGTACATCTACAGCAGCCCACAAATATAGTCAATTCACTTCACAGTATATTCTGTGAAGCGCTTTGAGACGTCTCAAAGACGTGATAAGGTGCTGTATCAAATTATTGTATTATTTGTTATTCCAAGAGATAGAAGCAACAGGAAATGGTTTTGGGTTTGAAGCTTCATGGTAGTTCTCAAGCACTCACCACTTGCACAAATGTCAGTTGTGTTTTTAAAAGAGCTAAGGTTGTGGTGAGTGTTGATATAAGATACTGGGTTCTTGTTCTAAACTGAACAACATTTCAGCTAAATATAGATGCAACTGTCTGCAGAGGTTTGCCACTATTTTCCATAATCTGTGTGGTGATGAATTACTGAACATAAATAATAAAAACACTTACATTACACAGCCCAATGACCAGACGTCAGCCTCAGGCCCGTGCCCTTGTTTGTTTAGTACCTCTGGGGCCAGATAGTTCGGAGTACCACAGATTGTCCTGGAAAATACACCAAACCAACACATTTTAGAGACTGAGATTGTATCTTGCCAAAGCCGCAAATATCCTGAAACTATCCAAACTCCACCAACAGACACTTGAAGGCATCTTGTGTAAACTTTAGAATTTTACAATCCCAGATGAACGGGCTTGTTATTTGGACATTGTAGAAGACGACATAGACGTACAATGTGTATTCTCTTCTGCCAGAGCACTATTCCCAACCACAACTGCAAGGTTATCCATCAGTGCAAGTGGAGATGAATTTTTCTTCAATCGTGTCACAAGTTATTAGTTATTAAACGCAGCAAACAATCAAAATCAGGGACCTTATGGTTAGGGATCAACCTTCCAACCTCCCAATTTAGGCTGGTAATTGCCACCAGATATCAAGATATCAAATTATAAAAAAGTTGCCATTACACACCTTTTCCTTTGATCTTTTGGCTCCAGTTTAGTGGCCAAACCAAAGTCTCCAACTTTCACTTCCATAAGGTCATTAACAAAGAAGTTACCTGAAGGGAGAGAGCAAGGTCAGAATAAACACTGGACCACTTCACATTACATTCACACAAAGGCAAAACTAAATGTCTAAAGGCTTCCACACAGTAATGTGCAATACAGCTTTAGCAGCCAGTAAACAAATTTATTGTAGTCACAAGTGTTATACAAACCTAGTTTGAGGTCTCGATGGAGAATATCCCGACCGTGTAGGTACTTGAGGCCCAGTATAATCTGTCTGAGGTAATACCGAACTTCTGGCTCCGTTAACGTTTTTCTAGCTTTCAATATGTGTGCTAATGACTAAAGAGAGAAAACTAGTTATACATCAAACACAATTCAATGTTATTAATATTAAGAATCCTTGCATTTGAAATCGCGCCTCATCGAGATGTCTTGAGAAGTACTTTGCAGGATATACTTGATGGTATTTTGTGAGCAAAACTTGCAGCCAGTTGTGCACAGCAGCGTCCCACAAACAGCCATGAAGTAAATGACCAATTTAATCTGGGATATTGTTGGTCGGGACATTGGGGCATAACCTCCCTTCTCTCTTTTTGAATAGTGCGATGGGATCTTTAATATCCACCTGAACAGGCAGACAGGACCTCAGTTTAACATCTCATCCCAAGGATAGTTGTCCAGATATTACGAGACAGCAATTTAGATTTAACTTAACTGAAGATTTAGATAATCAAGACTCAAACTACTGAATACTCCCCTACTCAGCCACAAACTATAATCCTTTCATTAGCAGCTCAATGCCCAACCAGGAAGGGTTAATACTAAATGAGAAAATTGTTGGACGCATTCATGCAACTTTCAGTATTTCCGCCCACCTGAACACAAATGAAGAACAGACCCATTTAAGAATTGTTTTAATTGTGCTGCTGCCATTGCCTTTACTTACCCTGTTCCTGCAGTGCTCCAGAAATATATAAATGCTTTCATGATCTTCAAAGTTATGGTAGAATTTCACTATGTGTTTATTTGACAGAGACTTGTGGAGTCGAATTTCTTTTTCAATCTGTGGGGAAAGACAGAGCGAGTCCCAAGTGAAATATCAGCTACAACAGATGACTACAGCTAAAGCTCCAGCTCCTCGCATCTAACACACCATATTATTCAATCCAGGGAGATCCACAGGTCCATTAAACAGGTGCATGGTAAATCCTTTGGAAAGTGCTTCCGACCCAGGTTGTACCAAGTTGCACAATTGCAGTAATAAGAGCGCACACAAAATAGCGAAGAGGAACAAAGATCAGAATATAGATCTGCCATTTGCATATTCGACTGCAACAAAAAATTAGAACCATAAAGATTACAATTATACATTTTGGCAGCAGACCAGAACCCACCAGATAACTAGGAAAACTAAAATATGGTTCTCTCTAATCTGTAACTTGTACCTGGTCCTTACCTTTTCTTTTTGATGAGGTTTTGCGACCCGGGTGTGTGGAATAACCTTTACTGCGTACACTCGATTACTGGACACATCAGTCATTTCATAGCATCGGGCAAATCCACCCTTTTTTTAAAAAAAAGATAAGATTGTAGTACAATAATCTGACTCTCTAATTCCATCTGATTTTAGATCACCCATCATTTGGTCAAATTACTCACAGATCACCATTATACACAGAGTCAAGGAAGTCAATATTGCTAATTAGTATTTGCAAACCTTGATTTTTTTAAAAACTAATGAAACTCAATCTTGACTGCGCTGCATAATGAGATATTAATAATAATCCTTGAATTTGATATAGCACCTTATCATATCATTGAGATGTCTCAAAGTGCTTCACAGGATATAATGCAAAGTGTAGTGACTGTATATTGTGGCCGAAACGCAGCAGCCAATAGCGCACAGCATTGTCCATATCCAAAACTAAACTAGTTGACTACAATCTTCAGAATCCCACTCAATCTGTGGCCATTTCTTCTCTCAGTTTCTATCTCCTCAAATACAATGTGCAAAGAAAGGTATTGAATTGCAAAGTTGTATAGCACTACTGTACAAGGGCTTTTCTGCTCCAGAAAGCAAGCTACCGAGAGGCAACTGCATTGTAACATGATTACTCTATTGCAGGATGTTAGATCCCCAAAGCAATGCAGAAGCAAACTTTAACCCATCTGACTCATCCAGACATAAAACCCTCAATATATACATTTGGGAGATCTCACAAGACAAGTCAGCTTTGCACCAGATCTTTTGGAAACATGGCTGGGGATCTTAAGTTTCTCTAGGAAGCACTAAAAGAAACCAGTTGACATGGTTTTTCTCTCTCCCTTTCCTCTCTGCCCCCCACAAAAATCTCCAGGGAGGAAGAACACATTCCATTCCAACAATCTATCGCTGGGATTTCCATGTGTAGGTGGGATGCATGGAAGTCTCAGCTGGGTTTGGAGACTCTTTAGCGATGGTGATGGGTTTCCGCTTGTGTCAGACATCAGGGCTGGCCAAAAAAAAGCCACAAAAATACATTCTTCCAGAGTGATGGGATAGTGAGTTTCCATTTCCACTGCTGCAAATCCACGTGGCAATTCAAATCAGCTGGGAAATAGATCAGAGAAATTCACAAAGAATTCCCCCTCCACCCCCTTCACTCTCGGTGCCAGTAAACTTTAGATAGAGTTTTAGATCAATCGTACAATAATAATAATAATCCTTGCATTTGATACAGCGCTTTTCATGTCTTCTAGACGTCTCAAAGCACCTAAATCGTAGAACTATGTGCTCATTTGTGTAAAACAGATTAAAAGCAACCTTTTTTAAAAATGTTCAAGGACTGTTCATTTGGTCAGTGTCCAGTCAAATGGATCGGGCAGTCTGTGGAAGATGGGAATTGTGGCAAAAAGAACCCACCTTCCCAATTCAGTGACCTGCCCTCACAAGAAGAACCATGATCTATCGAGGTTTGATTTTAATGGCACTACAAGTCTACTTGAAACCATAGTCATCAATAAACCTATAGCAGTTATAACACAGTCACTACACTTTGCAGTATATTCTGTGAAGCGCTTTGAGACGTGTCGAAGACGTGATAAGGCCCTGGGCCAAATCCAATGATTATTATTACAGAAATTCTGTCTCTCTCTTCCACCCCATCAAATGATGAAGTCTTAAATCATTGAAAATATTTTTTTTAAACATTCGCTTGAACACCGGGTTCTGGATCCTGATTCAGGAACACACACTCACAATTAAGGACATTGATTGAGATCCTTAACCGGGAGCCAGAAATAGCTGGAACCCCCCCCCCACACACTCTCTCTCTCTCTTTAAATAGCTGGAACCCCCCCACCACACACACTCTCTCTCTTTAAATAGCTGGACCCCCCCCACACACACTCTCTCTCTCTCTTTAAATAGCTGGAACCCCCCCCACACACTCTCTCTCTTTAAATAGCTGGAACCCCCCACACACACTCTCTCTCTCTCTTTAAATAGCTGGAACCCCCCCCACACACTCTCTCTCTTTAAATAGCCTGGACCCCCCCACACACACTCTCTCTCTCTCTTTTAAATAGCTGGAACCCCCCCCCACACACACACACTCTCTCTCTTTAAATAGCTGGACCCCCCCCCACACACACTGTCTTTAAACTCAGCGTTTATTCGACTCAACGCCCAACAGCCTGAACACACGAGTGTTAATGTCAAGTCAGACGATACCCACTCGCGCTGTGCGGTTGGACCGTCAGTAACTCGATCTCTCCCTAAAGTGGAATCAGCGATTGAAGATGTGCTGAATAACCGCAGAGTAGCGCTGAGTTACACTGTCCCTAAACCTTCCCTTTTAGACAAAACCTTCCCTTCTGTTTTACAGAAAAAACATTAGGCGCAAAACCCATAAGATTTGCAGATTTTGGGCTTAAATAAATAACAGCGAAACTTTAAACTGAGGTTAGAGTTTAAATTCGGACCAAATCACTGTCCACTTCAAACCCATCACATCAGAGCCGAATGGACGGAGAGCGGTCACTGAGACAGAAGCCAAACAGCCCAACAGCGGTACCCCCTCCCCCTCAGCCCCCCTCAGCCCCCCTCCCCCACCCTCACCTCAGCCCCCCCTCCCCTCAGCCTCCCACCCCCCCCCACCCTCACCTCAGCCTCCCTCCTCCTCAGCCTCCCACCCCTCCCCCACCCTCACCTCAGCCCCCCCCTCCCCTCAGCCCCCCCCTCCCCCACCTCACCTCAGCCTCCCTCAGCCCCCCCCCTCAGCCTCCACCCCCCCCCCTCCTCCCTCAGCCCCCTCCTCCTCCGCCCCTCCTCCTCCTCCCTCAGCCCCCCCTCCACCTCCCTCCCCTCCACTCCCTCCCCCTCCCCAGCCCCCCCCTCCTCCCCTCAGCCCCCCCTCCTCCCCTCAGCCCCCACCTCCTCCCCTCAGCCTCACTCAGCCCCCCCCTCCCCCCCTCAGCCCCCTCCCCTCAGCCCCCTCTACTAACTCACTAAACCGCTGCCCTCCCCTAACCATTACCAGACTGACTGACCCGCCCTGAACCATCCCCACTACCCAACCCAGACCGCACTGAGTGACTCACTACCCCACACCAACCAGACTGACTGACCAGCGGCCGGGGTCCGGCTGATGGCTGAGCGCGCGCGGCCGTTACCTTCCCGAGCAGTCGGCCCCGGCAATAGCACCGCCCGCTGTTCGGGGTCACGAGCATCCGACACGGCTCGGCTTTCTCGCGGCCAACCCGGGGGTGGAGGCACTCGTGATCCCCGGGGGGGGGCACATCCGAACTCATCGTCCTGTCAACGGGAAGAGCGGCTCCGGTCGGTCAGCTCCGGGGGTACAGAGAGAGAGAGAGACAGAGGGGGAGCGGGAGCCGCGCGGCCACTCACTCACTCACTCACTCACATGTGGAGGGAATCCCCGGCGGCTCCGACACTTGTAGCCTTTCCTCCCGTGACGTCAGCAGGAGAGCCCCGGGGGCGGGGCCTGGACCCGCGGCTCACAGCGCAGTGCTCACAGCTCGCCTTCCCATTGGCCGCCGCCCTCAGCGGGAGCCACGCCCACAGCCTCTCCCATCCAATCACAGGCAGCGCACTGGCTCACAGCCCCCCCCAGAGCCGGGTCTACCCCCCACCCCCCCCTCCCTACCCCCCACCACACCCCCCCTCCCTATCCCCCCACCCCACCCCCTCCCACCCCCCCACCCACCCCCTCCCTAACCCCCCACCCACCACCCCCCTCCCTACCCCCACCCCCCCCCCTAACCCCCCACCCCCACCCACCCCCTCCCTAACCCCCCACCCACCCACCCCTCCCTAACCCCCCAGTCCCCCACCCCCAACACCCCTCCCTATCCCCCCCACCCACCCCTCCCTAACCCCCACCCCCACCCACCCCCCCTATCCCCCCCCCCCCTAACCCCCACCCCCCCGCTCTAACCCCCCCCTCTAACCCCCCCCCCCGCCACCCCCCCCCGCTAACCCCCCCCCCCGCTCTAACCCCACCCCCCCGCTCTACCCCCACCCCCGCTCTAACCCCCCCACCCCCCCCGCTCTAACCCCCCCCCCGCTCTAACCCCACCCCCCCCACCCCCACCCCCCCGCTCTAACCCCCCCGCTCTAACCCCCCCCGCTCTAACCCCCCCCCCGCCTTATCACATCTTCGAGACATCTCAAAGCGCTTCACAGAATATATACTGTAATGTGAATTGACTGTATATTTTGTGGGTGAAATGTGTCAGCCAACTGCACACAGTCGTGTCCCACAAACAGTTGTGGATTGAGAGACCACATTATTCTTTTTTTAAGGCATTATCACCCCTGGAAAAGCAATATACAGTCACTCCACTTACAGTATATCCTGTGAAACACTTTGAAACGTCTTGAAGACGTGATAAGGTGCTGTAGCAAATACAAGGATTATTATTATCATTGAACAAGTGGCAAAGGTTCCAACACCCGGATCCAACACCTCGCTCCCCCCGAGAGAGAAATGGAACAGTCAGTGTATGACAGTGCAGTTTAACTACACAGATGCAACTTGTTAGCATGTTCTTGCAAGAGCTCGAGAATGCCTTGAAACTCAGATATGGAACAGCTGTTCCTCAGCAGATTAGAGTGACTGGTCCAATCATTGCCAAAAAAAAATCAAGGCATAGAGGTCCTCCTAAGTCTGAAGGAATCAATGTGCTTCCATTTGTTAGTGTGAGTTTAATCTTATTCACGAGAAAGCTGCCAATGCTGTCACAGGAGGCTGCCATGCAGATGTGATAATATTCACAGTATTTAATATAGTTTGAGAGTGGAGACCAAACGTGAATTGGGAAGGCAGTTAAATATATTTTAAAGCGTTTTGTTTCATTAAAACTAATGTGTAATCTCAATTGCGTTGTCAATTTATTTTTGGTGCATTTTTATAGAAACACGATTAGTGAGCAAGATGACGGGGCTATGATTCCAAACTTGAGTCACCACAACACATGTCTTCCTTCTGACACAAAGGATCAATCATTTCCAGAATTCTATGATCCTTATGTTAGCATCTAACAGCCTGGCCCGGCCCCTCCAGGATCTGGAAGGGCAGACCCAGTCACTGGGGGCAGGGAATCCTCCCCCTCAGCTCCTGTTAACCCTTCAAGCCAAAACCCTAACGGGGAGGGTGGTCCTAGCTGAACAAACAACAGTAATGCTTGCCAGTTAGTGATATCAATGGCCAAGCTATGCAGCTTGAGCTGGTTTGACTCCAGCAGTTACCCCAATGCACATTTGGGCTCCCCAAGCCTCGTCTCTTGCCAACCTGTGCCTAATACTCTCCGGAATTAAGTAGGTAGGATGCTTCCCTCCAGGGAGAGAGAGAGCGCATTCCATTCCAACAATCCAGCTCTGGGATTTCCAAGTGTAGGTGGGCAGCATGGAACTCTCAGCTTGGTTTGGAGACTCTGCAACATGGTGATGGGTTTCCGCATTTCTCAGACACCCAGGTGACCAAAAAAATAATATTTTTTTCTCTCTCTATTGGATGTTTCTACACAAAAAAGGCAATGAAGTACCACATTGTATAAGTGAGGCTGCTCACTTCTAAATCTTCCCGTATAAGTTTTGATATTAATTGTAAAGCTCAATATTAACAGCTTATTCAACAGTAATCATTTCCATTCAGTGGATATAATTCCCATGGGTGCGTCTGGAACTCCGCAGTTCTATCTGAAAGTTCCATGACATAATATTTCGATGCCCCTCATGTTTTAAGGGAAAAGCAGAATTCTCAGTTTCAAGTGTTTACAGAATGAAATGAACTAAAAACTGAAAGTATGATTGGAATACAGAAACTGACCATCAATGACATCAAATTCAAAACCGTCAGCAAAAAGGCACGAAGGGAAGTTTGAATTTTGCTTACGGAAACCAAAAACTAAAACAATGTGAGTGGAAACACTTCCTGTCATGAGTGACATGAAACGAAACACAGAAGAAATTGCCATAAAGTTTTTCTTTTATGCTTTCTTTATTTAACAGTGAAATTCATTTTAAATCGATTGAATCTTGGAACGCAAAATACATATTGCTTTGATTGACTTACAAACATGTTTGTAGAAAAATGCATTATTCACGTTGCAAAAAATCACATTGAATGCTACATTTTCATTCATTTTTAATCAACTTCTCCATTTTTAGGGCACAGACTAACAACGCAGCCAATGTAGACAAAGGTAAAAAGAAGCACTATGTGCAACAAACATATGCACTTAACCACGTTGTACAAACATTGTGTTTACCCACAACCGCCCACATTCGGTGAAGGCAAAACATTGACCTCATAGACAAGAGAATGAGAAAATTAAATAACGAGTGGAAAACAATGTTCAATACATTTTCCTCTACTTTCTCCTCCTCCCACTCCCTCTAACAGCAGCTATTTTATATAAAATTCACCACAAGAAATTGAAAAACAAGAAACCGGTGAAAAATAATAAAAATAATAATCCTTGCAAATGATATAGCAGCTTATAGCGCTTGATCACTCAAAGTACTTCACAGGATACACTGTAAAGTGTAGTGACTGTACATTTTGTAGGCGATGATGGAACATGGAAAAAGGTGGAAAATTAAACTGAGGAAAACTGGCATTTTGAAATACCAGAGATAGCAATTACACAGACACAATGGGCACAAAGATATAATTACAGGTATAAATAAATACACATGTACTCACTCAAAAACATAGATATATATAGGGACACACACACACACACGTGATGCACAAGATAGAACTATTTCCCCTTACAAAAAATATAATTATTGCTATAGCATTTGTGGATGACATTAGCTGCCACTCATTGGATAATTCCCCCTGAGTTGAACCTTTATTTATCTCCTTACCCAAATACAAGACGCATTAAGCAGAGGGAAGTGCTTACACGTTCCATTGTAGTACAGGGGAGCACTGCAATGTTGGAGCTATCCTTTGAATGAGATGTTAAACTAACCCCTGCTTGTTCAGATGGACCACATTAAAGATCCCACAGCACTATCAAAAACAGAAGGGAGTTTCTCCTGGTGTCCAAGCCAACAATCCTCGAAAATAAACTGGTCACACACTCAACGGCTGTTTACAGGACATTGATGTGTGCTAATCGACTGTCATATTTGCGTACAAATATACACTTAATAGGATTGCTACACTTAACGCTACACTTAATAGGAACTTCTGTGATATGCTTTTTTAAGACAATTCGAAGTGTTAAGGCACTGAATCAAATGCAAGGGCATTAAACAATACTGGCCTCTACTGGTGACTGATCTCTTTATCTGTAAATATATTTTGATGGTAAAATGCTGTCACCTGCTGGACATCGATTTATTTACCACTATGTTAGCAATGTGGTTGATGTTCATACAACATTCTGTACAGTTGTACGTCAGTGCCTGTGCGGAAGCAGCATGGTGTCAGACATATGATCATTCCACGTGTACCACAATCTGGATTCCATGTTACCATTCGAAAAGAGAAGGGAGTTTATCTCTCTCTCCCGGTCTCCTGGCCAACAATCCCCCAAATAAAATTGGTCACTCACTCCACGATGGTTTGTGGGACATTGCTGTGTGCAAATTGGCTGCCGCGTTCACCCACAAAATACACAGTCACTACACTTTACAGGGTATCCTGTGAAGCGCTTTGAGCTCACAAAGGGCAACGTGAGGAGTGGGTGTTCATAGGTCATCATGAGTCGAATACTAATCTAACAGATATTCTGTAGCATGAAAGTTATGACAAATCCTAGTACTTCCACTACTTATATTGTGTAGCCCAAACACTTTTAGGAGTTTTTAGTGAAGCTACAGACCTCATTGGAGGGAGTGATAAGGCACTATATCAAATGCAAGAATTTTAGGAAAAAAATGACCATTTCAGAAATAGCGATTGCTATCCACAATTATAATAATGTTCACGTAAATTTGTTGTAGAAGTGGGGAGAAACATCATTCCTCTTCTGATGGGCTAGAAAATGTCTGACAGTGAAAGCTTTCCTCCTGGGAGTCAATGATTTATTTCACCCCTTGATCCCGACAATGGTGGCTCTGCTTAATCTGGAATCTAACAACAGGATACGTGTCTGTCATGGAACTCCCTCCAATGAGGTCTGTAGCTTCACTAAAAACTCCTAAAAGTGTTTGGGCTACACAATATAAGTAGTGAAAGTACTGGGATTTGTCATAACTTTTATGCTACAGAATATCTGTTAGATTAGTATCCGACTCATGATGACCTATGAACACCCACTCCTCACGTTGCCCTTTGTGAGCTGTGCAGTTGAATATTTCTGATATTTTATGCCTATAATAAACTGCATTTCCTGTCTGTCAATTGCATTTTCCCTCAAGGGAGCATTATTTTTTGATTGAACCAGAAGTTGCAATTCCAAACATGTAGATTTTAAAATAAAAGCCTGTTGACTGAACACCCAGTGTGGCTACTTGACAAGTCAGAGCAGGTCATGCAAAGACTGATCATGTACAGCCCAATATGGCAGGGAAAAAGGGAGGGTGTCTGTTCTGGAATCTCCCAGAAAGATCCTCCTCCACCTACTGTTCACCAGAACCACAAAGAATCCGATCAAATCCATTCCCAACACTCGCTGCTACACAACCCCACCCACACAATGTAGGGTAATGTGCCCCATAACGTCACGTGTGGAGCCACTGTTTTACACAACACGTACAACTCCCCGAGATAATGATAATGAGAAGCTTTCTGGCAGGTGATACAGTGCTGTTCATGTTCGGAGGGCAATCGATCTCAAACTGATTGACTCTGAATTTACAGGCCAACGTGAAAGCCAGTTTTGCAAACAATATTCCATGAAGGGAATTCTGGGGAATTGCTAACCAAGACATTGGGAGGAATGATATTCTCTTTTCACAATGTGCCTCGGGACCTTTAACAGGATCTCAGTTTAACTTCTCAAACCAAAGGGCAGCATCTCCAGCACAGCCCAGCGTTATCAGAGGAGCCTCACCCTGGCCTGGCCGAGGACCTGAACCTACAACCTTGAAACTCGGAGGCCAGAGTGGTACCAACTGGGCCTGAATCTACACCAACACTGTGACAGCCCACGGCAATGATACTGAACAGTGATCTCTCTGGTGTAAAGCTCTGAGCAGAATTAGTCTCGGCTCAATGTCTGGAGCTAATGTGACTAACGAAGTTAAAGCAATTACGAACGAGTTCATTCCCCTTAATCCCTCCCTGGATTTACCATCATTAATGCTTGATGTCAGTTTGCATCTAAAGGTTGTGCAGTTATAAGAAAACAATAGAGTGTATACATGGCATGAAAATATAACCATGGAATACGCTCCGATTACAGTGATGCTTTCTCTAAACTAACAGGTCAGATATCTCCAGGGTATGTTGTGTCCTTAATTAACAATTCATTTAATGAGACTTGTCCGCCGACACATGGAGATCCCAGTAATAATGCTGCTGTTGCTCAGAATACAGTACTACCAACACTGTACACTAGGGGTCTCTCCAGAGCAGGTGGAGAGGGCGGAGCCCAAGTCCTGTTGGTACATTGCTCACCTGTCACTTTAAGGGGAGTTTTCACCAGAGACTGAGGGAGTGGGAGTGAATGTACACCAACCACATTCCTCAGCCTCAGCCACCCTCACCCCCTCACACTCACCCTCACTCTCTCTCTCTCACCCTCACCCCCTCACACTCACCCTCACTCTCTCTCTCTCACCCTCACCCCCTCACACTCACCCTCACTCTCTCTCTCTCACCCTCACCCCCCTCACACTCACCCTCACACTCACCCTCACTCTCTCTCTCTCACCCTCACCCCCTCACACTCACCCTCACT